GACCCAATACTATTATGGGCTACTGAACTCTTTTAGAATATTTTGCTGAGTTTACACACCTATAATATTCAAATAATGGAACTTAACAAAAAAGGGGATACACATTGATGTCCATTTTGTATCTGTGTATTCAAAGTGGTTAAGATAGATATATAGTTACATTCTCTTAATGAAGAGAGGGATTTGTTCTAATGGTGTGTGTAAATAGGATATTATGTCCACATCTTGTACAGCAATTAACCACCAGGAAGATTGTATGCAATATGTTAATTATTGGAACTGTCCTACCAATTTGGTTTAAAACTCTCTCATTGTCATTTGTTTCTCAATAAAATTATGGAAAAATATGAAATTCTACATATTTATTGTAAACATTATATGAAATATAAAACTACCAATGCCCTCTTTCATTGAAAAGATTATCAACACAATTTTAATACAATTCTCATAAATATTTTTGACTACATGAACCATATTCCAAAATTATATGTTGTAATTTGTTTCACTAGTCATGAACCGTTTCACATCTAACTCCTCTTCCCTAAATTTATGGATACAAATAGTGGTGTTAATAAATACAAATATTAGTGTAAATAGCTATTTATCTACTGTACTAGTTCAGGTAGAAGATTTAAGGTTAAATTTTTAGTTTAATAAACAAATTGTATGTTGAAAGCATATTTAGGAGTGTGCATGCAGAAAAATTAGTCTCCAAAATTAATACAAATTTTTTGTTCTTATTTATACTGCATGTGATGGTAGTTGATTACTTATCACCTCAGAGTTTTATTAATTGCTAATTTGAAAGAGTAATGTGATTTTTGCTTTACTTCCCTTTTTTTCAATGTGGTACATACATTTTTTGAATCTATAGTTCATTTTAATATTTTTATTAAATTGGGTCTGTCATTTTACCTTTAAATTTTGAATGGGAATTTTTTTTCTCTCTGTCTTCAATACTTCTGAAAATAAATTTATTTGGTTTTAAAACCGGGGTCTTTCTATATGTGTCAAGCTGGCCTTGAAATTCCTATGTAGTCCAGGCTGGCAGCTTCCCAAATGCTGGGATTCCAAGCATGCATGACCACGCCTGTATTCAAAATTTTGAAAAGTAGGACAATTTTCTGTTTTCCATGCATTTGTATGGATCATTGATTGACATCTTTTGAGTCACTTTAGATAATTTATAATTTTTATTTTATCCTTATTGTAGAGCCTAAAATAGTGTAAGTGCACATAGATGAAAGTGTGTACATAAATATATATAATGTTCAAATACGAATACATGCAGCTATTAGATGAAATAGCCTTAGAGTATTTATGTAAATGTTAACATTGGACAGCCAGATATCTCAGCAGATTAAAATGCCTGCTTATGTGATGCAGTGACCGGGGTTCAATCCCTGCCATGCAGTGCTGGCCCTCCCACCAGGGCATGATGAGGCAGCTATTGTACTGGGATTGGGACTGTGCGTGTTGGCGTGCACCTGTAATCCCAGTCCTTGAGAGGCTAAAAACAGGAAGATCACTATAAGTCTGATCTGTGTAGTGAGACCCTGTCGCCCCCTGTACTACATGCAAAAAAAAACAAAAAAAGTTAAACATCTAAACTAAAAGTAATTGAGAAGAAAACAACAATTTTGATGCCCAATTCCTAACTTAATGTAACGTGGTCATTTGGGGTCTATAGTAGTAGATGACTATTGTACTTGGAGAACGATAGCAGGTAGCGTAGTTTAATGTCATACTCTTCTAAGCATCTTGGAAATTTGAGGACCATACAAGGAGAAATGCTTTGGAGGCAGTGATGACCAGAAAAGAACAAAAGATATAGAGGCTTCGGTACAATCTCTCAGGGTCATTACATTTTCTGAACATTGAATTAGTTCTTTTTTTGCAACGTTTTCTTAATTATTGCCACAAAATCTATTGAAAATTACAATTTTAATGGAGATTTTGAATACATTTTCTTGAATTTTTAATTAACTTGTTTCATACCTCTGTCAGATTTAATCCTTTATACTGTCATCTAAAATTAATGTTTGGGTTTATATTTATTTTTCAAGCCAGAGTAACTTTAATACAAAATTATTCTTTGTTTAATTGAAATTTCATTTTTATGTGTTGTAGGTATAATTTCATTTTCCATTAAAAATGGAAATGATGATGAACCTCCAGAAGAGATTTATGAGGAATGTAAATTCCTTCATAAACTATCAATTATGTCAGAAACATCCTCCATTTTTAGTTCAGAAGACCAAGGTAAATATAACATACAGTTTCATGATTAGCATACATGAGCATTCATCATTTTTGACTTGTAAAAAGAAACATCCTTACATGCATAATACATTTGTGAATTGGTGCTGCATATACATTTGTAAAGCATTTATTGCATTACTTCAAAGTTAATATTATGTAGTTTATTTTCTGAATTTCCATTTTTAGTATCAATAGAGTATAAAACTTCAGATTAATGGTGGCCTACTATTCTGTAAGTAAGAAGTTTCTCTAATATTTCTATTATTAAAACATATAGCAAGTTTCTGATGAAGTGCTAAGGAATGAATTATTTTACTAATATAATGTGCTTTACTTATTCCAGTATAAAATATCATTTATATTGCATTCATTTATATAACAAAGAATCTAGGCACTATTGCCTTTCCTTCCTACATTTTAAAACTTTCTTTGAATGTTGTTAAACATCATAATATTTGGTATAAATCTAGAGGAAAATGTGACGATAGAGAATTGGACGTCCGTGAAAGTTTCCAGGAGAATTTGTTCTTTCATTGATCAGTAGCAAGGAACAAAGTGTTTAATAGAGAAGTTTAATAGGAGAAAATTTGTAGAAACAAAGACAAATACCAATGCAAATGCTTATTGCATGAATTTTTATTACTCAGGGTTCTTCAGAGAAATAGAATCAGTAGTGGAATTCCTGTTTCTGTATCTGTGTTTCTCTTTAGTACACATAAATACACCTATGCAACATACATGCACACACACATGAACACACACACACATGCACATGCACACACAAAGCTTTGCTTCTATTTCTGCAGAAAACCTTGAATAGTATAGTCCCCATTTTAATCTCATCGCTCTGGGTATCCTTGACTCTTATAGTCAGACAAGAAGACTGTTTGGTTGCATTACTAAAGAATATATGTGATGTTTTTCAGGTGGAGATAATACTTTGAAGCTTTTTTATTCTGATCTGTTCTCAATAATTCTACTATATGCTGTATTCATTGCAACAAAAGCAAACCTTGAGGTCATATGTAAACTCTTCTTTCCAAGATCCTTTCTCTGTGCATTCATTGTGGTTTTAAGTATTAAAAATCCCATGTAAATACTTTATTGTGAGATACCTAGTAGACAACTACATGTCATCTTAAAACTTTTTTATTTCAGTAATTTTTAATTCACTTTAATGAGAAAAGAGATAAAATAACAATAAACCAGTTTCAAAACAGGTTAGTAGGACAGTTATACCAATACATTGCATATTGTCATCATAGTATTTATTCAGAGGACAAGATGCAAACAAGGTATCTTGTCTAAACTTTGGCTTACATGCTGGCCCCACTGCCAGTGTGTGCTGAGAATGTGATTGATACTGGGCATGGTGGTGCACACCTGTAATCCCAGCATTTGGGAGGCTGAAAAACAGGAGAATCACTATGATTTCTATCTACGTAATGAGACCCTATAGACTCTGTAGGCCCTGTATCAAATACATAAAAATAAATAAACATTAAAACTTTGGCCTAATTTTTGAAAAATCACATTTAAATGTCATAAAATCCTTTAAGTTGCTTTCATAATATTTAAGGAGCAGCCCATACAAACTGAGAAGAGATTTCCTTAATAATTCTCCATCATTGTATATTTGGCAAACTTATATGCACATTTAGAGTTTCATAAGAATGAACTGGTGCCAGCAAAATAAGTAAGCAGGGAAGACAATTGAAAATAAGGAAGTAAATTTGGAGTAAGAATTCAACAGGAGTGCCTGTAGTTCTGCAAGTCACTAACTGATTGCTTTGTCAGGTCTCTCAGACTTGACAGGTTTTTTATGTGTTTTTTGGCAGTTAGAATAGCATTAGACTAGAATGGCATATAGTACAATGTAGTATTGCACAAGATCAATCCGAAATAATGCATTAGAACAGTGACATGTGGCATGACACAATATGCTTTTCAATGTCATGTAATGCTACACAATGTCATATAATACAGTGCAGTGAAACACAATTCAGTTCAAAGCAATATATACTTGGAGAAGACTTTCAAAAGAGACACTAAGAATTCCACTAGTCCAGCCCACTTACATAAGTTATTGTAGCATAACAGTTCTTGAAATCTTCTAAAAATATTAGTACGAATAGGCATTAAAATTTACTGAAACAAGAGAACATCTTAAACCATGAAGTAGTTCAATACATAATACGAAGAATATCAAAGTGAGAAACGGAAAAGATGCTGAGATAAAGAGAAATAACATGAATTTAATGCAAGTATCCTGGTTCCAGTTTCAGAGTAGAGTATGGCTTTAGACAATACCAAAAACTTAACTGTCTACTTTAATAAACTGGTGGATCCAGGTTAAAACTTCATTTTCTTGCTATGTAGTTCAAACTTGTTTTTGGCTTTCTGTAGGCTACATTACTGAAATTCTTTTTCATACTCCCCAAAGACCTGAAATGCCATTTAATTCTTTTATCCTTAGTTTAAATTTTTATGATAATTATATGTACTTTTATCAATTTTGATGTGTTGCTTTGACAATTTATGTACGAATATGTCAAATTTTGGGCAATTAAAGAAGAAATTGACTATTTCTTCATAACATTAATTCCTGACTTAGAGGTAAAACAACTTATAAAACATCTTATATTTATTTTAGTAAAATAAAAACAGCATAAATATGAGGTTTTTGGAAAGGATATATGTATGGCTTGTAGAATGTGTTTCTTTTACTGTTCACAGACTATACCAAAACTAGTTCTCTCTCTCTCTCTCTCTCTCTCTCTCTCTCTCTCTCTCTCTCTCTCTCTCTCTTCCTTCCTCCCTCTCTCTCCCTCTCTCATTTTCAGAAACATTGTCTCCTCAGATAGTTCAGGCTGAGATTGAGATTACTATGCAGCCAAAGGTGGCCTGGACCTCATAGGAGTCCTCCTGTCTCAGGTTCCTTAGTGCTTGTGAATACGGGCATGTAGCACCACCTTGCTCCACATGCCCTGAATCTTTATAGACAAATCAGTGCATGTTTTATGAATCAGTGCATGTAAAAAGAGAATCTGCTCTTTCCACAGCTCTTCAATTTTTAAATTTGGTATGGGATTCTGAAGCTTATATTAAGTACTATGTTTTTGTTGTTGCTTCCTTAATCTTTGTTTTGTTTTATTTTGCATTTTAGATGAAGATTTTAAAAATTTAAAAATGTGGTGTCATCTTGAGATAAACACCTCTCCTGGACCACCGCTAAATGTTATTGAAATTGATTGTATTGCTCTGGTAAGAGCCCAGTAAATATGTATAGATTTTGTCATTTTGCAAACTGAACATTTGTGGTACATTTTATCTCTATCAAATGACTACACTGAAATTAACCAATCATAGCATTTATATTTTATAATAAGGACCTAAATGCTTTTGTAAAGAACTTAAATGGCATTTTGATAGTGACTAACATTCTGTCTGTTTTAAGAGTTATTACAGTAAAGTGGACTTTAGCCTACATGCTACTTCTCACGTACTATATAGTAAAATCAGAACTGTACACTTTAGTATCCTGAAGTATATAAGCTGGGCTTGGTGACACATGCCTATAATTCCAGCACCTGGGAGGCTGAGGAAAGAGGATTGCTGTAAGTTCAAGACCAGCCTGGGTGACAAAGTGAGCTCAAGGCCAGCCTGAATGGCATAGTGAGAACCTGTCTTGCAAAGACAGGAAAAAGAAAAGAAAAAAAGAATTCTCCAGTATTAATTCCTGGTTTTCGTAGTAGAACTTTCACTTTGAAATATATTTGGAGCAACTTGCATATACTTGAGATTTTCAATAATAGTAACTAAAAATGCAATTTTCTTACATTATTTATGAGATGTTACTAAATTTATGTCCAAAATTATCTCAAAGTCAAATATCGAGTTTTGTCTTAAATGACACATAAAACAATATTAATTTTAAATTACTCTTGTTTTGATTATATATGAATACTTTAATGCTAGAATACAGATCTGTAAATTCTTCATAATTAAATATATATTTTAATTTTAAGTGTACATATAGATTTCTTCATAGAATTCATTATTTAAAATTTTGAACTTTGCTCCATTAAATATTAATTTAGAAAAGATTTAAAATATGTGAACTCAAGAAATATTTGGTCATATGCTTTCTGTTAAATATCCAGTGGGTCATAGGATATGGCTAGATAAAACACTGAAATGCACTCAAATATAGCTTGCAAAAGCTGAATCTTTAAAGTCAAAGTTTATTTAATATGACCATGTGGGATCATTTCTCTCAATTAAAATATGGTATTTCCGTGTCTTGGTCATTGCTATATAATAAAATATTCCTCAAAAGTTATTTTAAAATGAAACAACTTTAATTATACAACTCATTGAGACAGAAAGGGATAACTGAATTAAAATTTCAATTCTGTCTAAGGACACAGGAGAAGACATTTTTAAGAAATGGATCTTACAGAAATTGGAAATGTGAGATATTACCTCAGAAAAAGAACATAATTTTCTTATTGTTTATAGGTTTAAAATAGATATAGAAATAAATTGAAATTTGGAAGAGGAACTAGCAAACACAAGTGCAATTCTACAATCATGTGTAAACATCTTTTGGATTTTCTTTTTAAATGGTACATAAAGTGATTTTCCCCCCTGGAACAATTATAACCCCTTTGGGAAAATACTAACTTAAATTGAAATTTTTGTAGCTTTAAACAAAGAATGGTGAAGATTGTCATGCAGGTTTCAGAAACACATCAGAATACTTTATGCAGCTATTTAAAAAGATTGATCAAAAAGTGAAAAGGAGTTACCACCTGTCTCTTTTAGTGAGCCAATTCTAATGTGTTTTCTTTTTTCAAGTTAAAACTTATATTAACCCTTCATGAATATATCACTTTTGTTAATAATGTAGTTGCTAGCTTGCTCCCTTGTGACTATAGGAAGACTTGCTGCTTTAATTAAATATTCACATTCAACTGTGGCTAGTGGAAAATCCATGAAGGACATTAGTGACAGGGACAGTATTGTTCAGTCATTAGCTACTTATACCTTGGTGAAAACTAATTCCCTATTTAAATTTCTGACAAAAATACCCTGTAGAGATGATATGACTTTTTCATACAATCCCATCAAGTAAAACCTTAGAATTTATTGAAGACATTTTCTTTGTACTTTCAGAAATCTTATAATTTTTTCCTCATCTACATATTGTTCTATAATATTTTCAATTGCATTTTCAACTTTGCCAAATCTTTTGGGAAATGATTTACTAAAACCTTATATCTTCAGATATGGCAATGGAACATTAAGCATAGTAATCCACTTCTGATTTCCTTTGCATTTCAGCTTTTATTGCATTCAACCCAATTTCCATAATTTTCTCAAATAAAATAAGGTGATCAGAATTTTTATAAAATGAAGTTCTCATGATAAAAAATTATATTACAAGCACTCAATTTAGTTTTTTCCTTTGGCAGCTTGCAGACACCAGATTATATTCTTTTTTTTTTTTTTTTTTTTTTTTTTTGGTGGAACCAGGGATTGAACTCAGCAGATTATATTCTTAAAAAATAATTGTAAACAGTTATTATTTTGAAGATATAATAATTCCCCAAAGATGTTCTCCACTTTGAAGTTTGATTGCTAATAAGGTGTTAAGAACTGATTAGATAATAAGCTTTGGATATCTACTGTTTCTCAGCCCTTTTCTCTCAGGCTTTTGCCCTCTCTGCCTCTTGACCTGCATGATTTAAGTGGAATTCCCCTGCCACCTCCCTCTGCTGTGATGTTTTTACTTGCCACAGAGTCAGAACAGTGGACCCAGCTGACTATGATTAGAAATGTCTAATAATGAAGCAAAGTAATTATTTCTTCTTCTATGATGTTTTTCTCAGGTACTTGGTCACAATGATGAAAACATGATTTAATGGTCTAGTTTTCATTGGTGTAAATTATTTAGAATTTATTTTGGAAATTTTAGTATGTAATATATTCTATTTCAGTTTACTCACCTTCAAAAATATCCTTCATGCCATATATTTTGGCAGTGAGAAAATGAGGAAAAACAATTGTCTTTCCTCTAACATTGATTATCTCCAGTAAATGTATTCTGAAAATAAAACTTAAGAGTATGAACAAAGCCTTATCTGCCTTGTTTTAAATCAGTTCTAAATTTATTGTGACACTTGCATGACCATTTCCTGACTTGACTTTTTCATTGTATCCTGAACTTTCAATTAATTTCACTATATCAGTAGTGGTGAAACAAAACATTTGTCAAACAGAAGCATGGTTATAAATAATATTAATCCAGCTAATGTAAAATCCATTAGTTCCAACTGTTTAAAACACATTTTCAGAGCTTTACATTCCATGAGTTCAAAACTGTACACATTCTCCTGTATTTAAAATCAAGGTATAGCCTCATTTACTTAGTAAGTGGAAAATATCTAAAGGCAAAATATACTGAAATATATGACATATGAGCTTAGCAGCACTGTACATTATAGAACGTTAGCTCTTGAACATAAGGACACATGCCTGATTAGGAGACAACTGCTGCCATTCACTGCTACTGTCCAGCACTGCTAGAGATTGTCTTACCACATATTGCTTGCCCAGAAAAAGATTAAAATTTAAAATTTAACATATGGCTTCTGCTAAATATATATCACCTTCATCTCATTTTAAAGTCAAAATGTTTCAACTTATGGACCATTTGCATTTTGAGATGACAAATTTTAAATGTTTTCCTATTTCCTTCATACTTTTTATATTTCTTTGTAAAAGCATATATCATGAAAGTTGTAGATAAGGTTGACATTTTTCTTCATGAAATGTTGAAGTAGTAGAATTAGCATTTGCACTTTTACTTTTCCTGAGAAATTAGGAGAGGTTGCCTAGCAAGATTTTTTTTATCTTGAAATTATTTCTTGACTCATTTAAGTTAAATAGAAAATTTGATTATAATTTAACATTATTTCAATTACTATTGCAAGTATATGTATATTAGTTTCCTGTTGTTATAAAACACTAGACAACTGCCCCTGAAGGCAAAGAGGGTTAGTGTGTCTAGCAGTTTTAAAAGTTCCAGTCCATGATTGACTGTCTCCAAGGAAGAAAGATCATGGTGGATGAGTATAGCAGAAAAAAAAAAAAAACTACTTGTCTAAGAGTAGTCAGGAATTAGAGAGAGAAAAGGGAGGAGCGAGGAAAAAATGAGTGTACCCTTTCTGGTGATGCTCCTAGTGATCTCACTCTTTAACCCAGCTCTGCCCACTACCAGCACATTTAACTCTGAACACATAAATGAATTAATCTTCTGATGACTTTAACACCTGCGTGATTTAATCATTTTCCTAATATCTTGCTCTGAACGTATGACAAATTTGGGTGGCATTTTAGGTTTAAGCCATAACATTCCACTCCTGGCCCCCAGAGGACTCATCTCCATCTCATTATGTAGAATGCACTCCATTTACCTCTATGAGTTATCAAAGTCTTAGTAGTTTTCACACTGTTGAAATGTCTTAAGTTCAAAATCTTTGTGATGCAAGGAGCATAGTCTCTGTAGCTGTGAATCTCTGCACAAATTTTTAAAATAAGTTAAATACTTTTAACATACAACAAGGGCTAGTGATATAGCTCAGCCACATAAGAACCTGCCTGGCAAATGCAAGATCTTTAGATACTGAGGTCCATGCTGGTACAAAAAAAAAAAAATCCATGTAACAATATAGGATAAATATGTTCATTCCAAAAGAAGGATCCAAAGTACTTAGGAAAAAGCAAGACTAGAAATAGGCAGGGAAAGCATAAATCCCATAGCTACAAGTCCAGGGCCAGGAAAATATAGTGAGAAGATGGAATCACTAGAGGCTTGGGCAGCCTTCCTCTCTATGGGTTGCAGTTGACCTGGTATGACTCTGGAGCTGGCTCTATTTGCTGCCTATGGCTTTTCTCAGTAGCCCTTTCACAGTGTAAGCACACCCAACTTCTTGGGTTTAGCACAGTAGCTTTGGTTTTACTTTCACAGATTTAGGGATCACCCTCTCAAGAGTATATAGCCTGACCTCCCAGACCTCTCTTTGAAGTTTGGGTGAAACTCTATGACTCTTCTCTCAACATTAATTTCTATATTAGTCAGACATGAAATAATTTGAGTTCAATACAAAATTACACAGAAAAAGCTGTAGAATATTATTTTAATTAATTCACATACAAAATTCTGTGGAGATTAAAATTTTGATAACATCTCCCATTAA